GGACAGGGATTTAGGAACAATAAAAAGATTGTTCAGGAATTAGGAACAAAAATATTGGATTAGGACAGGGATTTAAGTTGGGTCGGACACAGTATTAGGAACAGGAACAATAATAGGGACATTAGCAATTTAAAAACAAAAAGAAATTACTAGTTCTACTTAAATGCATGAAACTTAGGACCAATATTACAATTTTGATAAATGAGTATTGATTAAGGAACATTACTAGATATGAACAATATTATAACTTAAGTCTAGTTTCTTACAAATTTCTAACTCTAAATTTATCGTTAACAATAACATTTACTTGATGTCGGTGATTTTTAAATTAAACTGAAGAAAAGAAAGTCAAGATTTCCATAAAATAAAAAAAGCTTGAAATTGAAAAACACATACGATTTATAAAATTGGGAACATTTTTTGCCTCGAAATCTCAGGGAGGGGCTACGCCCCTCCCTGAATCTGTCAGGGGGTGGCGAATGTCCCCCCGCCATATGTTTTAAACAAACAAAAAACATTCTATTTAACCATGCAATATATTAACATTATATAAAAAGTTAATTGTTGGGTTCGGATTGGATTGAAAACATGCAAAAATAGAAAGAATTACTTACTTTACTATTAAATTATTGTTTCAGGATTCACCTTTAAGTTTACGTTACTTTTATAAACTCGCAAATAAGATAAGAGATTTATTCTTCGAGCTTGCAATGCATTTCAATACTTTCTTTCGTTATCCAGAACCTTATTGTGTTATTATAAGATCAAAAAATGTCTATAACAAAAATTTACCTACCTTGCTTTTTCTATTAAATGATCGGATTCGGTTAGGTTAAATATCAGAGATGAATTATTTCACTGTAGCGTTTATTTAACCAGCTGTTACTGTATTATGACTCGTCTACCTCGCTACGTCACACTGGTGACTGGACCTGGACGGTCTACCAAGGAATCTAGCAGGCAACTGTATTGTAGGTATAGAGTAGACACATATCTGATTGCTGAGCACACTCACAATTGTCATATCCTTTTACATTTTATTCCTAAATTAAAACATTGTAATACATTCAAAAATCAAAGTTTAGATTTAAATCGCAGTATTATTAATTTTTTGAAGATACCATAAAGCTTAAAGGAATTCCAGAGCCCAATTTGAATGTATATACTATGAGTCTGTATGGCTGTGCCGTTGTATGCAGAGACTAGTGCAGACGAAATGACACACAGAGGGGAAGAGGCGCGCCTTACTCTAACTCTACTCACTTGTACTCTACCTTCTCTATCTTTACCTTTAAACATGTATTTAATTTATTCAGAGAATTCAGATATTGAGAAGAACAGGAAACCAAGATGGATCAAATAGGCATCCTGCGCCCCTCTTTTAGTAACAAATCGCATTTTTTCATCGGAAATAAAAACCCAAAATTTCGTAGGTTTTTTAATCATATATCATTTTAAGATTTCAAAAATTTCAAAGTTTCGTATTTTTTTTCAGGCATAATTTTTCAATTTCGACTATAAAAATGTCGGTTTTTTAGTCTTCGAAAGTAGGTCATTTACATTTATTCAAAAATGTGCTCGATCTCTTAAGAATATTCTCTAAAGATTTTGAAAAAAATTTAAATATGATTTTATTTCATTTATTTTTATGTTCATAGGCGGTTTCAGGGGGGGGGGGTGGCAGTCCATTACCCCCCCCTGAGTGAAATTAGGGAGGGTGTACCCCCCTGGATTTTTACAAATCATTTCTCATTTAAAGTGTAGTCTTTCAATTTCAATACATTGGATGCTTTGGCCCTGTAGTAAAACATCAAAAGTGTAATTTGAAAGCATCAAAATCAACATTTGAAAGCATCAAAAGCAACAAGCAATCGAATATGATGCCTTACTCACTCTATTTTGAGAAAATATAAACGTTCCAGTCAAATTATGACTTAATAAACTAAGAATTATGAAGCATTGCTTTTGCCTGTTCTTTCCGGATGGATTTAAGACCACAAATATTTCCTCATTCGGTTGTAAAACAAGATGATAGAAATCCTTCATTTTTCTGGTAAAAAAAAATATTTTTGATGCTTTTCAGAAAAAACTCTAGAAAGGGCAAGTTTTGGTTGTCGCATGCACCGCCCTTTTAGAAGTAAGGGGGTGCAGCTCCATTTGAGAGAAAGGGGACACGGCCCCATGCTCCTCTAGTTACGGGCCAGTCTACAAACGCCCAAGTTTTATCCAATTTATTTATTTCTACATTTACTAATGAAATGAGTCACAAGCTACACATGATTATAATTATAAATCAAAAGCTTTTATCAACTTCCGGCAAACAGTCTGGATTACATCAATACTGTATAAAAGGGAAATTTGAAAAAAGTTAATTTTAGTTGATATCGGTAAAATGAAAGTATATGGATGTCTGAAATATTAGATTTATATAAATCCAGGGTGAGTCCAAAAAAAGTGTAATTAGCGGCGTCTGGTGCAAAATTGTACTTTTTTTGTGCAACTCTCCTGTATTTTATTTTTTCAATATTTTTTGGAATTTTCTTTTTTGGTACTTCAATGCCCAAAAAATCCGCGAAACTTTTCCCTCTCTCAAAATCTAAAGTTCAGAAAAGCAAAAATTTGTATCCTTTTTCTTTCTATCAAATTCTAAAAAATTTTAAATATTGAATAAAAGAATCACAGAAAATTCGCAAAATTTTCAAATGAAAATTCGCAATTTTCAGTTTTGGTCTAATTTTAAAGGAAAGGTTGTTTTTCAATAGCTCCTCAGTTCTCTACTGAACAGCGTATATTTAAAGATTTAAAGATCCTTTCCTTGAAAATTATACCAGAACTCAAAATTGCGAATTTTCTTATTGCAATTTTGCAAATGTGTTTAATTTTGTGAATTAATCTTTATAAAATTCTAAAATTTGATAGAAATAAAATATATAAACATTTTCGCTTTTCTGAAATTTTGATTTTAAGAGAAAAAAAGTTTCGCGGATTTTTTTCGACCATTGATTACCAAAAATAATAAAAAATTACAAAAAATATTGAAAAAAATTAAATACAGGAAAGTCGCAGAAAAAGGTACAATTTTGCATCAGATGCTGCTAATCCCACCTTTTTTGACTCACCCTGTTCTTTGCTTGCCTCTCTGTTTTTTTGTCCGTTTGTATCCGATAAACGTAAAAACGGCTGAACCGATAGGGTCCAAATTTTGTGAGGGCCTCACATGACTCTAGGGAAGGTTTATGGATGCTCAAAATTACAAAAATTCGTAACCAAAAGTTTTTGATTAAGGTAAAATTTTGAAAATTCGCAAACTTTTTTGTTGCTATTGTTTTATATTTTACACAGAGAAGATCTTCTCCAATAGAGCTACCAATAACAGTTGAAATAGAAGATTGGCGCGAAGATAAAGCCTAATTTTAAATTGCGGAGACCTAAAAAGAGTTAAATATCGATCTGCAGTTTCATTATTGAATTGAATTTTATAAAACTACACCTGCAAGCTTGAGAATGATTTCAAAGAAATTCTATCTTTAATTTCAATTTGTCTCTTTTAGCTTCAAAATAAATGATAAAATTCATTAACTGTAAAAAGATGGGGAAAGTTTCTCTGTTCTTAAAAGTTAAAAACTACTTTAAACCTAACATTTTCACATTCAAATAAAAATTACCATATCATATTGGAGAACATTTTTTAATTTAAAGAAAAAAGGACAATTTTTTTATCTCGTTATCAAAACTAGAAGTTTTAACTTGAATTTGATGTTACGTGAATGTTCTATTGTAGAGAAAATGTTCATAACTTGCTTTCCAAGTCATTTTAGATTAGATTTAATTGTACTGTATAATAGAAAATGCGTGGTAAAAAATTCCCCTCTGCTTCCCTTCTAGTATTTTTTAAAGGTATTTTGGTAATTTTTATGTCATATCCCTGTAAGAGCCGGGACCGGAGGAGGAAAATAGGGTGTATTCTTTTTATGATTATTTCCTGATTATTTAACTAAAAGTGGTAAAGTGGCTACTTCAACTAGCTATACCTAGATTAACCACTTCCCGCTATTGACTAATCTGACCTCAGGACAGATGTTTTTCAAAATCTTTTAATTCTGTTTCTGGGGGTTAATGCAGATATTGTAGACATAGTCTCACAACATACACAGATGATATGGGCTGAGATTCTATTTTTAAATCTTTAAAAATTAATGATGAAACATTTTCAAAAAAAGAACTGTTTTTATGATTTGAAAAAAAAACAGCATTTATTAATTGTGCTCAATTATCTATATAAAAATTTGGCTTGTCTGTTTTTTAGTTTGTATCCAATAAATGTCAACACGGCTGAACCAGTCGGGTTCAAATTTTGTGTGGGACCTCACGTGACCCCAGGGAAGGTTAATGAATGATCATAATTTTAAAAATTAGTGTTTAAAAGTTTTTATTTTTTTAAAATTTTGAAAATGCGCGAAAAAATATAATGAAATCCGCAATTTGTTGTTTTTGTTTTAAACTGTACAAAGAGAAGATGCTCACAAACGCAAAGCGCCAAAAAATGTCTGTTATTCTAGTCTAGTGTCTTTTCATTTATTTCTCAAAATCTGTTAGTCCGTGGCTAAGTCATATTTACAATGTATATAAGTCCCTTATTACAGTCTACAGCATTTTGTTTTGTAATTCATCCACTAGTCATATTTGTCCAGTAATTATTTAGTCCCTTAATCGTAGGTCTGTGCAGTCCTAAGTAGTAAATAATTGCTGGCAGTACTTTACTATATTTTGATTTTCGTCTGTCCATAATCCATAATAGTCTTACTGATCGAAGTGTCCTTGTTTTCAAGTAAGGGGCTTATCCCTGTTTTCCTCTTATAGACTTCAAAAGTCCTAAAAGTCCCGATATAATCCCTTTTATATTTATTGTTATTCTTCTTAGGATGTCAGGTTTTGTGTAACCTTAAATGGTATATGTATTGTAATACTCATCGAAGTAACATCTATAATACAGGTTTTTTTCGAGTGGATAAATTAAGTCGAAAATGAGAAAATAGTCGAAAATGAGAAAATAGTCGAAATTGAGAAAATAGTCGAAAATGAGAAAATAGTCGAAAATGAGAAAATAGTCGAAAATGAGAAAATAGTTGGAAATTTCTATTAGAAATGATGCGCACAGCACCAAAGAAAAATGTTGGTATTTTTTTCTACATTGACAAAATTTGATAAAATTTTGGAATTTAAAATCTACA